AAAAATACGTCACAGGATCCGACAAGATTCTGAATAACCTCTCTTAATTACTATATTCAAAGAAGTAATTTCATGCTATGTGTGAATTTTTAATGATGGAAAAAGCACAGAACAAAACATTGGAACGGTACTATACTGTATTGTGCACAAGCACATATGTTGGGCTCAGGCTGATCATCGGAGCTACGCAGGTATGGGACGGTTATTCGAATAACATACGTTGGCGAGTTGCGCGAAGTTAAAAACAAGATATGACTTGTACAAATTGTGTTCGTTGTTAGGCAGCACTTAAATTCAGGTTGTAATTTGCGTATCGTAAAATAAAATATAAATCAGCGTCTCAATTTGTAAAAATAAATTACAGAATACAGTTGCACCGACTTTTAATTGACTTGTGAAATGTGTGTTTACGGAAAAAGTGAATTATTAACCTTATTTTAAAAATTGATATTACCAATTATCCACTCACAGTTTACATTGTTGGTAAATAAACACACACCGGTCGTTTTGGATCAAGGTCAAGGTTTGTAGGTTGACCGTACTGAAGGACGTGGAATTTGGACTTGGTGTCACAAATATAACTACGAAAAAATGACCCCTCCTTTTAAATGTCGATATTTAGATAAATAACAAATAACGTAAAATAAACATAATATAACCTTTATGTGATCTTCACAAAACTGGAGGAATAACGATGCGTACATTCTCCCTACATGGATTACGGATGATGTCTCGATGTACTTACCCCTCGTATCACCTGAATACGTCTTTGCAGCGGAATGAGAACCATGGTTACAACAAAATACACCCTTCTTACTGAAATTGCGTCAAACTAAAGGGTAGTGGCAATTAACTTGTTACGTGGGTCCCTCAGATGACGCATAAAACGGAGCTGATTACGTACAATGGTACCAGAGCGATAGTCACAAGAATTATGCGCGTTTATCTCCGGGGGCTAGGTACAGGTGCACTGACGAATCGGCTGATCACGTCGCGTAGGCGATGGAGCTCGCGTGAACTCGATTAAAACAATGAGACTCTCGAAACACTGACAAGCTAAAAGGTCGAGTGGAGAAAATCGATAAGCGGTTCGAACGATTTCCCGTTTCGTTTACATGTGTGTTGGCATGCTTGTAATCACGTTAAGGAAGTGCATGAGGAAGACGATAACACATTTCACGGGAAATACATAATTTAAATATCACCGCGATTTCAGACGCGCACATTATTTCCTTAGTTATTTCATTAGTCTGGTTCTAGTTTGGGTACCTCAAAAACCAAACAGAGACAACGTTATTATTTTATTGCATGTTTTATCTGTCTGCAATAATCTCAACTTTTTGCAAAATTTCCCGACGGAATTGAATAATATAATATTTGAGTTTGAAATTATTAGTAACATTGTTCTAGAACGGGGAGATTCATAATATACGTAAGGAGCTAAAATAATATTGTTCAGTTATTTTCAAACTCATTCTAAGCAGCATCACATTGAATATACTGCTATAAGTTGAATTCTAGTGAACTTCAGAGTAATGGGGGTAGTAAATTACGTTTCCGTATTATTTATCAGTTCATTAGTCCCATTAGAGAACATATACGCCCACTAACGGGCATTGCTACCATGGCAACTTCTTATCAGTACATGTGTACAGTAAAATAGCAACATTGTGTTTTGATAAACTGACAGACGCGACAACATTAAATACTTAACCACACGCAGAAAACATAGTTACATTTCAAACCATAGTGTATGTACAAATGCACGTAAAATCACGCGATGTCATGGTATAAACATTTACTAAACGAATTCGCTGTTATTATATTGACGTGATAAGAACGAGAACACCACGCAACTGGCTAATTAAAACAAGGTCCGATTTTTTTTTTGATTTTTCTTAAATATGTATTCAATTATTTATTTTTCATGTACTTAATTTTTTTTATTTGCTGACAGTTTTGGCAATTGCGAAAGCCCACGTTGTTAAAATAATGCAAAATAAAATAAATTACAAAAACATAAACAAATAATAAAATAAAATACACGTTGTACAGTACATAATATTTAATCAGT